AAATCCTGCAGCACCTGCAAGCTCCCCCTTCTCAAGAAGGCACATGTACAGGCCCAACTGAAGCTTGCCAATGAAATGATTCAGAGAAGGATTGGGAGAAAGTGCTGTGGTCAGATGAGACCAAAACTGAGCTCTTTGGCATTAACTAGACTCACCATGTTTGGAGGAAGAAAAAAAAGCTGACTATGACCCTAAGAACACCATCGCTACAGTCAGGCATTGAGGTAGAAACATTATGCATTGGGGCTATTTCTCTGCTAAAGGTACAGGCCGACTTTTCACATTAATGGGCCAAAGGACGGGGCCATGTATTTGTGGAAATCTTGGATGGAAACCTCCTTCCCTAAGCCAGCACACTGAAGATGGGTCGTGGATGGATCTTCCAGCATGACAATGACCCAAAACATACCGCCTAGGAAACAAAGGAGTGGCTCAAGAAGAAGCACATTAGGATCATGGAGTGGCCTAGCCAGTCTCCAGGGCTTAATTCTATAAAAAATTAATGGAGGGAGCTGAAACTTCCGAGTTGCCAAGCGACAGCCAAGAAAACCTTAAGAATTTAGGGAAGAGTGGATCAAAATCCCTCCTGAGATGTGTGCAAACCTTGTAACCAACTACAAGAATCGTCTTACCTCTGTGCTTGCCGAGGGTTTCTCCACCAAGTCATAATACTTATTTTACTCACTGAGCTGCAACTCAATTTAGAACATTTGTATCGTGTGTCTTTTTCTGTATTTTTGGTTGATATTCTGTCTCTGTCATTTAAAATATACCTATGATAAAAAATTATAGACAATTCATTTCTTTATAAGTGGGCAACCTTACAGAATCTGCTGGGGATCAAATAATTATTTTCCCCACTGTATACCCAAGAATTTGCTTACGAAAATAGCATAATTAGTAGTAAAAAATATGGATTTATGAAGAACCAATCCTGCCAGACCCACCTTTTACCATTCTATGAGGAGGTAAACTGTAATTTGGATAAAGGAAACCCTGTGGACATAGCGTATCTGGATTTCACTAAGGAATTTGATACAGTCCCCCATAAATGCTTACTTTAAAAAAGGTCTTTTGACATTTACGATATTGTATGTGCCTGGATAGAAAATTGGTTGCAGTAGCGCATCCAAAGAATAGTGCTTAGATTGGATCTAAAGCCTAAAAGTATTTTTTTTTTACCTTTAGTCCTCATGCACACTGGATGTTTTTACAGCGGCTGTTTTTGGCTTTTGACATTTTTTTCTACAGCCAGTAAACCCCCCAGCATGTAATCCTATGTGTCCATGCACACAGACTGTAAACGTTTTTTGGCAGGGGCGCTTTTGGCTGAAAAAAAAAAAAAAAAAAAAAAAAAACAAGAACTAGTGGGTTTTTAGAAGAGTTTTTTTTAGCTGTAAAAACACTCTAATGCTGAAAAAAAAACTGGCAAAACTGCGTTTTTGGACACTTTTTTAGCCAAAAAAAAAAAAGCTAAAAATCGCAAACGCAGAAAACCGCAAAAAAAAGTGGCAAAACACTAATGTAAAAATGCTAAAAAACGCCGCTGAAAAACCTCACGTTTTTAAGGTGACTTTACACAGCTAACGTTACCAGCGTTATTAAAAGGCTCAGTGTGCATAGAGCCTAATGCATTCTATGCTTTAGGGTAAAAAACCTTCTGTGTCACAGAATCTCCCCTCCCCTTATACTTACCTGAGCCTATTCTCAATACAGTGCTAGGATTGATAGCAGCAGGAGCCACTGGCTCGCGGTGATGTCAATCAAACTCTGTGATGAGGGAGCGGGGGGTGGGGCCGAGCTGCCTTGTCTGTGTCAATAGAATCAGACAGGGGGCCTCAGGAGCGAGCCCGTCTGAGGAAGCGGCTTTCTATGGGGGAACTCGCCGAACAGGAGCCAGGAATACCAGTGGGGGACCCCAGAATAAGAGGATCGGGGCTGCTCTGTTTAAAACCACTGCACAGAGCAGGTAAGTATGAAATGTTTGTTTATATATTTTTTTAAAAATGAAGCTTTAATATCACTTTAATGGCATATTTTCTGAATGGTCTGGAGTTGCGAGTGGAGTACCCTAGGGCTCTGTCATGGTACCAATTCTGTTTAACATGATCATAATCGTTATAGAGGTTGTAAAAAATAGTTCAATCTCAGTGTTTGCTGACAATACAAAACTAAGTAGGGCAATAACTTACAACAACAGGTTATAGCAACTTTACAAGAAGACAGTTAAAATAGAAAGGTTTCTCCCGCCCTCTCTCCCTGGAGCTGTTTCGTGTTTTTATTTTGCTGTTTTGGTCATGGTTTGTTCTTTGTGTTTGTCCTGTTTGTCTTGTGTGGGGTTCTTTGAGTTTGTTTCTTGTCTGGAACGGCATTTGTGTCCCGAGGTGTTTGTTTGTTTTGTCATGGCAGCCGGCAGGGGTCTATGGGTCTTTGAAGGCGGTGCTGGAGTGACAATTTGGTGGATTATGGGTTGGGCCCATCGTAGGTATGGGTGTTCCTTCCCAATTATAAGGTCACCTTGGTAATGTGGGAGTTCATTGGCTGTATCTGGGACTACGTAACTGTAGTATTGTCCCCAAGGCGGTGTAGTAACGGCTGGAGACCTTTTCATTGGGTGTCAGATACAGCCGAGCTTTTGATGTGCGTAACGGTGCCTTCATAGACCTTGGACCCGGTTGGGATCATTACTGTCAGTTATTATTTGAGTGTATTGTAAGAAGTGTTATGTTAGAGTTATGTTAAATGGCTGCTATGGTCGGTTTTACACCATAAAGAGAGTCGCGTGTTTATTTAGGTGGGGGAGGTTGAAGGGTGGTGGTGGTTTTATGGATTAGGGGGTAAGTATTAGCCTCGATATTCTGCATGTCCATCAGTCATGACTCATCTCACTGCTCCAGCGGTGTTTAGCTCCAGCACCATTCTCATTTCCTGCTATCACAGGAGAAACTAGGGGCAGCAAAGCCATAGGCTCCTGCTGCTGTCAGTCAATGTCCTGTGACCAGGGAACGGGGGCACGGCTTACTGGCACATCGTGCATGTCTTTGAATTCGCACAGCTTGGCACATGAGCACGCAATGAACAAGTGGCTTCTTGGCACCCAGCTTGCTTCAGAAGATACTCCGAAAGAAGGAGAAAGCGGACAGAGTTGGCACGAGACTGCCAAAAGTAGAGGAAAATTACATTTCTGTGCAATATCACTGCACAGAGCACTAAATATTAACTCTCTTTAATTAATTAAAAATATATAGCTTTTAGTATCACTTTGAGTCGCTGACATGCACATTTGTTCCAAGTCAAAGAACTCACAATATAACCAGTGCGTTAGCATAACAGCTAGTCAACTAGTAGTTGCAGAGAAAAGTCAGCAATGTCACCCATCGTATTTCTGCAAGGATAGATTCATTTCAAGAAAGATTGATCACATATGTTTAAAGATTTTTAATAATCTGTTGGAATGAAGAAATAGCTACACAAGAAGTTATTGATCAAGTACCTGCAATCTGGTACTCGATCAATAATTCCTGTGATGAAACTGCAGATGCAACCACAGTGTCATACAGTGGGTAAGGTTACAGAGACCATGAGACTAGGTGTGTCAGCCCCTTGTTCATTTAGTAGTACATAGAAATCTTTAATTGGGTGCTTACCAGGGTGGAAAAAGTGTTCTTTTTAGTAAATAGTATGCCATGTTGCATTATATATAGTTTGCTATGTATGAAAAATAGCTTTTAAGTACATAGCTGCATGTAAGGGGGCATTCTACACTAACAAACATTGTAAGAGGTTATTCTATACCAATGTGGAAATGGGGAAGGGGAATGAACACTGACCAATATTATAAAGGAACCTTCTACCACTGACTGCAAACATAAGAGGCCCCTTCTCCTACTGAACAGTAATGTAAACGTCCCCCCCCCCCCCCCCCCCCACACACACACACAAGCAATGTGACAATAGTATTTAAACTGAACACCTGTCTAAGGAGGCATTTTATCTAACCACCGATATGAGAGGAGCATTTACACTGAAAGCCATCGCCCCGCGCACAACCAATGTAAAAGAGGATTCTACGATGACCATAATATGTGGGAGAGGGCTGTTTTGAAAGAATTCTAGGTACAGCATTTTGTGTACATAGTTACATTGGTCCAGCTTGGACCAATGTAACTATGCATATACCATATTTATGGGATCTTTCTAGAAACTGGAAACTACTCTAGTTGATACCACTACTCCAGTGATCTCTAGCTTCCAGGTTTCATGTAGAGCAGCTGCCCTACTGCTTAGTGAACTCAGGTTGTTACCACCCTGTCTTTCCATCTTGTCCAATCAGAGAAAGCTTTGCATTCATTGAGAAAAAGCAAAGCATTCTCCAAATGGCGCTTGTGCAGAGTGGCCACCTTCCTGTGTTAACAATGCAGAAGAGCAGCCGCTCAGCATGGAACCCAGAAGGTAGAGAAGATCACTAGAGTAGCAATGTCTACATGAGTGATTTCCAGCTTCCAGGGGCATCTGCCAGACTTGCTGGCTACAATTTGGGCTCCATAATAGGGGGTTTGCAGGGACTGCATATGAGGAAGCTGGTGGCGGATGAATATAAGAGGGCTACACATAATGGGATCCAGTAATAGATAATTATGCGAAGGGCTGCACTTTGGGAAGTTGAGGGTGAGCTGCTGTCATGTGTTGCAAGTTAATATAAATTGCTTTTGCAGCTTTATATGGGGTTGCAGGGTGATATAATGTACCAATGTGGCCTGATATTATTATTATTATACAGGATTTATATAGCACCAACAGTTTGCTCAGCGCTTTACAATATAACGGGAGACAATACAGCAACAATACAGTTCAATACAAGAGGGATAGGAGGGCCCTGCTCCTTGGAGCTTCCAATCTAGGATGGATATTGTATGTCTGTGCAGGGTGATAATGTGCTGTTGTGATGTGATATAATTCTGTAGCTAATTGATGCAATTTGCTATAGTGTGATATTCGCTTGTAACCAGGGGCGGAAAGACCATTCGAGCACTCGGGCGCTGTCCGAGGGCCCAGGGTCAGTAGGGGGCCCCATGAGAGCCCCTGGTACCTTTCATTGGCTTTTTTGGGTATGGGCGAGGATACGGGGGCCCCATAATCCCCTATGGCCGGGGGCCCCATGAGTTGTCAGTCCGCCCCGCTTGTAACCGTATACGTAATTTGGTGTAATAGCAGTATAATGTGCTGCTGCTGTATGATGTGATTTGTTGTTGCAGTGCAATTATTACATATAGTGTAAAGATTAGTTCGCTAAAGTAGACAAGTTATTTTAAAACCATTCATTATTTTATGTCAGAAATATCTCAGAAATTTTCTGCTAGGAATGCTTGAGGTGATTGTAGCCGTATTAGTGCATTTGCAACAGAAACAATTGAGTACTGTCCGTGATACATTTTTTATTTGCACTAACATACAATTTTGAGGACAAGCTTTCGGGGTATGTCCCCTTCTTCAAAGTCCAAACAGTACTATTACAAATCACAAAGTTTAAGCAGAATGTTAGAAGGGATTGAAAAAAAAAAATCTACAGATAAGATACATCAAAAGCGAGGGGGGGGGGGGGGGGGGGGGTACTACACTCACACAGAGGGGGTCAAGCTTCAGCTAATAGATAGTCATAAAACTGTCGCATAATGGTTGAGGAATCCCATGTCCAAGTTAAGGCCGTTATCTCTTGTGTCAAATAGAATTATCATTCTTAGTTCAAATGTTTTTCTTTCCTGAATGGATTTGAATTTTCCTTTCAGAACTAAAACATTGAGGTCTTCCATTGTGTGGCCTGGTTGTGTGAAATGGTGTACTACAGGTGTGCAGAGGTCATCTTCTTTATGTTCCTTGATGGTATGTCTGTGCAAATTCATCCTTGTTTGCAACTTCTGTCCTGTTTCGCCAACATAAGATCCTTTGCTAAATTTTCTGCACTGGATAAGATACACAACATTACTGTAGGTGCAGCTGTATGATCCGGAAATATTGAAGATTCCTTTTGAGTGTCTGACACTTTTTGATGGATTGATTTGGTTGCACAGCTTGCAGCGTTTCTTATTGCAGGGTTCGCTTCCATTATTTGTGACATCATAATCAGAAGGAAGTTTCCTACTGATTAGTTTATTTCTGAGGTTGGGGGGTTGTCTGAAAGCCAGTATTGGGGGTTGCTGGAATATTTCTTTCAGAGCTCCATCCTCTGTTATGATGGGTTGTAAATCTTTGATTATTTTTCTTATTCCTTCTAGTGCTGGGCTGTATGTGGTTACTAGAGGTACTGTCAGGGATGGGGGTGTGACCAGAGGTGTGTGTACTGACACAGGGAAACGCAGGCTTCAGATATGGTATAAATAAGACAATTTATTAAGACTAACAATACAAATATAAACGTAGTGCACCAAACCCCAAGCTAACACAAATACATACAACAAGGTGAAACAAACCCAAACCTAAACTGATATAGATACACAGGTACATACACATATAGAGCACAACGTAGTCAGGCAAGCCGGGTCGATAACTATCGGGCAGGTAGGTACAGGAGGAGCAGGCGGAGAGTAGTCAGGTCACGAGCCGGGTACAGCAACTAACGGACAGGTAGGTACAGGGGGTCAGGCAGAGAATGGTCAGGGTCACAAGCCAGGGATCAAACAGGAGAAGTCAGAAATCAGGATCAGGCAGGGTCGGCAACAAGTCAGGCAGAAACAGGAACAGGAATGCAGGTTACAAGATACAGGGGCCCATGGAAAAACACACACCAAGGCACAGACTGCAGGTCTGGCCATCCCTTAAATACACCACCTGCAATCAGCCCCAGGTGATGGCTAATTGCCGAAGTGAACCTCTGGTTGTTGAGAGCACCCGCTGGCCAGCCCTGGTACTGCAGCCCACAAGGCAGGTGAGTCCCACCACTATTGGCAAGTCCATTCCTGACAGGTACACGGTTGTTTGTTTTTTTTCTCTTTGTACTGAAGTAGATTTTCCCTTCGGGTTCTCAAGGCTGTGTTTATGCTGGTGTTGATAGTTTTGTCCTTGTAACCTTTCTTATGGAAGGAGTCTGCTAGTGTCCCGAGATGTTTATCTCTGTCTCTTGGGTCAGAACATACTCAGTGGTATCTAATGGCCTGACTGTGTATGATGGCACGTTTCATGTGTTGGGGGTGGAAGCTGGAATGTGGAGGTAGTTGCATCTGTCAGTGGGTTTCCTGTATATTGAGGTGTGAACAAATACATTTTAATAAAATGGCCATTTAGCTGTCGATATAATTTTTATATCACAAAAAAAACTGAATTCACTAAGCTACAATGCATATGTCATCTGTTATTGTGATTGTTGTGTTCAGGCATGCAACTGTCTTTTTTTCTAGAACGTTTTATATTTCATTGCTGAAAATAACAATCATTATGAATATAATGATCATTATGGTTCGGTGGAGGGTGGGTAAACATTTTTGCTCAAGAACCCCTTTTGTTGACTTTGTGCGGCACTGATCTGCACCACTCTTGGCTTACTTACCTGTTGTTCTTGCAGAAGATAGCTGGCTGGAACACCTTTACCACATCCTCTTCACAACCACAAACCCTGCACACACTTGTTATACACTACTTCTAGCATTATGTAACAGCATATACAGTAAGTGTAGGGTGCCCCGTGATCCATAAAGAATTCTCACACAAATAACAACCATCTATATGTTGTAATCACCACAGGGACAAGCTGGCATGAGAAGATTTTTCATGCTATGGCCTTTAAAAATGCTTGCTATGTGTTAGGAATATTAAAGCCCAATTGTACCATTCTAAAAATCTGAATATATCAAACAAGGTTGCATAAAATATTGAGGGGAATAAAACAAAGCTTAATGCACAATTATAATGGTACAGGAAGCTGGCATGAGTGATGTGCACCCCATAAACAAAACACATATACCTAAACACATAAATCACAGCAGTTTGTATAAGAAAAACTGCTGCAGATCCTGGCCAGACTGGATGTGGTGCAAAAGGATGTCTGCTGGTAACCTGGCAGACAACTCACATGCCTCCCTCTGCCTGTGCAGAGGACACACCACACAGGCAGAGCCTGCATAAGGGCATCTAGTAAAGAACAAAGGGGAAAAGCCCCTCTAAGTCCTAAGGCTCATCACATAATAGTAGGTCCGGGTCACTGTGCTGGGAAAGCTGCTGGGGAGCCGCCAGGGTCTGCATCCACACCATGGATGGTATAGGGAAGTCGGCCAGGCACTTCAAAGATGGTGCTGGAGAGCACACGTGGCTAAAAATGTCAGCGGGATGAGGTCACCAGAGTCAAAGCAAAGCGTTTCAGAGCATGCGCTCTTTCATCAGGCTAAATAGACAGGAATGAGAAGCCTCTATGCATAGCGATCTGCCCGCGTAGGACTACAGAGCTCAGCAAGATTAATTTATATTGCAATACCTATAACAAATTCCAATAAATGTAAAAGCATGATAAAGTACACAGGTAACTAAAAAGCAATAATAAAATGTAACGTGAAAATTATGTAACTGCGTGCGCTGAGTGCCAAGAAAATCCAAATTGTGAACCATAAAACAAACAGTGAAACAATAGCTGCGCTCAAAAAATACACAATACAAATACTCAGTTAATAATATCCAGGTATTGTTGCACTATTTATAAAAATATATTAATAGTGAGTCACTTATAGTTTAAATGTGCTCCTTCTAATAATATTAAGTCAAAATACATGAAACACCAACAATGAAAAAGTCTTTTCATGACAAAATTCGAATTATGATGAATCTGTGTCCACAATATTCCTCCACGTGTGTAGTGAAATAGAGACCTCTTGGTGGTGGGCACTATTAACATATTTTTTATTAATAGCGCAACAATAACTGGATATCAATAATAAAATGTAAATTAAGGATAGCAGATAAAGTAATTAATTGTTAATTGAGACATTAATGTGAAACATGATTATAACACATGATGCACTAATATCAGTTTATCTAGAAGGTAGAACTGTCATATACAATAGTAACACAAATAAAGCTATATACAGTATACACACTCTGTTTCTAATATACTGTATATATACACTGCCCAAAAAAAGTAAAGAAACACTTTGAAAACCCGTCAGATCTCAATGGGGAAAAATCTCATGCTGGATATCTATACTGATATGGATTGGGTAATGTGTTAGGAACATAAGGATGCCCCATTGTTTGATGGAAATGATAATGATCGACATACAGAGGACTGAATTTAAAGACACCCTGAAAATCAAAGTAAAAAAATTATGTAGAAGGCCAGTCTATTTTGCTGAGATTTCATTGCAGCAACTCAAAATGGTACTTAGTAGTTGGTATGGCCCCCATGTGTTTGTATGCATGCCTGACAACTTCGGGGCATGATCCTAATGAGATGACGGATGGTGTCCTGGGGTATTTCCTCCCAGATCTGGACCAGGGCATCACTGAGCTCCTGGACAGTCTGAGGTGCAATCCGGCGGTGTCAGATGGACGAAACAGGATATCCCAGAGGTGTTCTATTGGATTTAGGTCAGGTGAGCATTCAATAGTATCAATTCATTCATCCTCAAAGAAATGCCTGCATACTCTCCCCACGAGGCCTGGCATTCTCGTGCACCAGGAGGAACACAGGACCCACTGCATCAGCGTAGGGTTTGACAAAGGGTCCAGGGATTTCATCCCGATACCTAATGGCAGTTAGGGTACCATTGTCTAGCCTGTAGCGATCTGTGCGTCCCCCCATGAATATGTCTCCCCAGGCCAACACTGACCCACAACCAAAACGGTCATGCTGATGTTACAGGCAGCATAACATTCTCCAAACCCTTTCACGTCTGTCACATGTGCTCAGGGTGAACCTGCTCCCATCTGTAAAAAGCAGAGGGCGCCAGTGGCGGACCTGCCAATTCTGGTGTTCACTGGCAAATGCCAATCGAGCGCTATGGTGCCGGCAGTGAGCACAGGGCCCACTAGAGGACATCAGGGCCCACTAGAGGACATCAGGCCTACAGGCCACCCTCATGAAGTACAGTCAGGTCCATAAATATTGGGACATAGACACAATTCTAACATTTTTGGCTCTATACACCACCACAATGGATTTGAAATGAAACAAACAAGATGTACTTTAACTGCAGACTGCCAGCTTTAATTTGAGGGTATTTACATCCAAATCAGGTGAACGGTGTAGGAATTACAACAGTTTGCATATGTGCCTCCCACTTGTTAAGGGA